AGAAACTACAAGACAGTGATAGAAAACACTTGCAAACATTATAAAACATTTGAAATGAAACAAATCTTAAAGTTTGCATATGAAATTGTGTTGAAACATCACTGTTGCTGCTTTCTCATCTGATTTTACCTATGCATGAGTAACAGCAAAAAAAGAAAAAGAAAATATATTTAGAGGACCTTCTTATATGGCACCTTTTGAGCAAAGTTTAAATATCTACTGCACAACGTGGGGAAAAGAAAAAAGGCTTCCCCAAAGCACACTCTGCAGCAGGTAGCCATTATCACACTTAATGTTCAACCACAGTCCTCTTCAAACCTGAAGAACATTTGGTTTAATTCAAATAATGAGGCCAATCAGTTCACACCAGCATCTCAAAGAGAAGGCCCTCATTATTCATGATTATCAAAAAGCTGTTTTAATGACTGTGTTGAAACAAAGCGAGTACTCTTTGCCACTGGCTATACTGCTCTACTGCCGAAAAAACATCACGAATGAGAGACAACTCAACTCTAAATGTTGTATGGAAATTTGTATTTCAATAAAGTTAATTAAGCAATAAAGTAAAATAAAAAAAACAAACATTTTTAACATTCATGGGAATAACACAAGCAAACATGTAAGTAACTGCCAGGGTAAAATTGTACTGTGTATTTCTATTATAATGGTGAGAAAAGGAGAAGGAGAAGACCAGCACTGCAAAGCATCTTACACGTGTGAAAGATTTGGTGGAACTTCTGCAAATGCAGGGCAAAACTTTCCAAACAACACTGTGCGTTCAGCTGCTGAATGATTTTAAAGTTTAAGCTTAGATTGAATATACCATTTGTTTTTCATATTTATGCTTTTTTTTTTTTAAGATTTACTTTCTATGTTTATTTTAGATGACACTGAGACATGTCACTATGTACATTTCAGTTATTACCTGGAAAAGTAGGTGTTCAAAAATGCTGGTAGTCTGCGTAAGTCTGTCTTAAGCCATCAAAGGTGCAACTGCCCTCAACACAGTGTTCACATATTTCAATCAAACTCTAGAAAACGGTCGCATGAGATGACAGTGTCGGTGCGTTTAGATCAGGACATCGCCTGATGTGATGTGGCCTTTTCTCACGATGCGTTACTTTCATTCGCAGTCCTGGAAATATTCTATTAAGTCAATGCAAAGGGGTTGCCTGGGAACACGCAGGAGCCCAGACACATGATGCCCCCTCACTATGAACTCACCCGTCAACTTCCTTTTCTTATTCTCACATTGACCCAAATCGGCACAACTGGACACACGCAGACAGCAGGTAAACTGCTTAATGTCGACTGTGTTGGACGTGTGGACCTCCTTCAGAGGGGTGGGGGGCAGGGCTGCAAGTTTAGGGCTGCAGTGCATGTGTGAAAGCAGGCTTTCAAAGAGCATGGCCTCTGCTTTACTTTCATATGCCCCACCCCCACAGAAACATCAGCACTTCCCGCTGTGAGCAAAAACAGCAGCAGGTAATTGAGTCTGACGTGTCTCCCCCAATAAAGCTGACTACACTTTTTATTCAGGAAAAAAGGGGGAAAAAAGAGGAGAAATTATTTATTGCACTAGCACTTTAATTCACTGTAAAAAGTATATAGAAACTTATATTACAGCCCCCCCCCAAAAGAAATACACTGTGTAAAATGCAAATAAAAAAACAGAATGAAACGTCAGAAACTCATATTTATTCACAATAGAACACAAAAAACAAATCAAGGTCACTTAGAGTTTGATGGCTGCAACATGTCCCAATAAAGTTGGTACAGGACCATGTTTATCAATCTGTAGCATACTGTCTTCTTTAAACAGCAGTCTGTAAACATCTGGCAACTGAGGAAACCAGCTGCTACACTTCTGGGAGAGGAGCGTTATCCCAATATCGTCTAATATAGCATTCTACCTGCACAACACTCCCGGGTCGTCTTTATTTTAGTTTTTCCATTTTATGATACTCCAAATGTTTCCAGTTGGTGAAAGAGCTTTTCTATTATGAAGTCATGTTGTTAGAGTACATGCATGCAGTTCTAAAATCTTTGTACATCTTTTAGCATTGATGGTACGTTTCAATAGGCACTAACAGAGATGCAACTTTTTGCACTGAGCGCTGAAAACAAGTTGGATGGTCCCTCTTTAGCCTGGAGACTAAGAGGGCACTGTTTCTGGATTGTGTTCACACATGGCCCCATTTTTTGTTTAATAGAGCATCATCATCTTACATTTGTGTATATCACAGTGAACTGTGTTCACGATTACATCTGGATGTGTTTCTGAGCCCATCCAGTGATTTCCATGACAGAATCCTGCCACGTTTTCAAAATTAGCAAATATTTTTCAAGAAAAAATAAAATGCCTCAGTTTAAACATGTGATATGTTTTCTGTGATCTATTGTAAATAAAATGGGGGTTTATAGGGTTTACACATTGTTACATTTTACACAGCATCCTTGCCTTTTCAGAAATGGGGTTGTGCAAGAATCAGCTGGTGCAGCATGTCTGTATCATAAATAAAGTGTAAGCATTTTTTTTTTTTTAGTTTATTCAGGGATAACGTTTTGCAAATTAGATATAATAGTAAGTTTATGCTTATGTAGTGTGAAGTTGTTTCATATATTACAGTGTAGGATGGTGAATAGTGAGAGCCCAGCACAGGCAGATGACGGACAAAGACCACTCTGTCTCCCTGAAGCTTTGTGGCGGGAAACCAGGAAGACTCCTGTCACTTCCTTGGATAATGGGAACTCTACAGGTGCACTCTAAGTGAATAACGATGATAAGCAAGTGACTAAAGACATCATTTCGGACTTGCATGGCCATCGTTTGTATCTCACAAACAGTGTTAACCCTTTTAACACCAGTCCACTGATGTACATAGTGAGAATCTCGTGAAGTTGAAACAATTTAATTCAAAAGTTATTCCTTCAGTAACACAAAACGATGCATTGAACAAGAAGTCGGTTGATCTCAGCAAGCCCTAAAAATAATATTAAAGATAAAAGGTTCCTTAATAATATTTAGTTTTTCAAAATTGAATTGAAGAAATTAGCAAGTTAGCCTGCAGTAAAGCCTGCAGTAATCGTATGGTTGGTTATTCTTCACCTATATGAAAACTGATTGGTTTGTGAATCCATCTAAATTATTTGTTAAATATGAACTTCTGTTACACACTGAAGTTGATGTGTTTATGTGTTTACCACTGTTTAGCAACATCATAGATCAACCTTTGTGCTCTCATAGTTAAACTAGTTTTAATGTCCCTGCTATATATGTGAGTTATACATATATACATGTACCACTACTACCACATGTATGACGTGTATTCTAATAGAGTTCTTCATTTTTCATTAGTGATTGTACATCACTTTTTCCATGTTTTTTTTTTTTATCTTTTCCCTGCCAACCTATTCAAGACCTCCCAGAATATTTTTGTTCTATGAATATATATACATGACCAACGACCAGGAAGTTATGTTTTCAACACTACCGCATGATGTGAAAACACTGATTGCTGGAAAAGTTCGTCACTGGCGGGGATAATGCTAAGCAGAAATTTTCTGTTTTGACTTGCCAGATTAAATTACAAGGAAAAAGCTGATAACATGTAATACTATGCATTTGCTAATGACTGTTGTCATTTTGAAGAAAAGGTTTCATTACTAATCAGTCAGGCGTCATTCTGAGGGTGTTAAATACTGCCTTTTTTTTTTAAGTTTGTGTGATTTGAACAAAGTGTCATGATACCAGTCCTCACACCTAACACTGTGACAAATCACTTCTCATCAGACTTAAACACGCCAGGTAAACTTAAGCATATTTTTTTCTATGTAAAGTGTCCAAACCACAATCTTTACTTAACCAAGTAATTTGTGTCAGATGCCTTAATCAAATAAAAGTGCTTTAAGTGTTTAAACTGACCCATTGGTGGTGACTAAACCTAATCAGGTAGTTTTAGATGCCTAAATCTAAGAAAATCGTCTTCAGTACCTCAAACTAACCTGTTGGTGAAATGATGATTTAGACCACAGACAGTGCAGACAACCCACCTGCCTGCTTATCCTCTCTTTAAACAAATAATACAATCATCAGTTTTAACTTTATAATAGCCTTATAGACCAAACCAAACCTATTATGAAACCAGCTAATGATAAATAACAAGCAGCATTTATTATTCTATTTGAATTATATCAATTTATTAAAGAAAGTTATAAAGCGGGAATGTGCAAATAATTTTCCCAAGGGGCAACATGAGAAGTTGGTCCGTGTTTTTGTTTCTCTCCCTTGTCTCCTGGCTCCTCCCCGCCTGGGCATTACTTGGTTCCAGGTTTCGACCTTGGCCAACACGCCTGGTTGTAAATTGACTCACCAGCTGCCCATCATCCTTGATTAACCTGCTACTACTTAAGGCGGCGCCTGGGTGATGTTCTTCGCTGGATTGTTTTACTTCAGTTAGTGTAGTCCCGGCTCTCTTTGTGGTTCCTGTTTTCTCTGAATGTGTTTCCCTGGTTTCCTAACGTGTGTTTGCTGTCTGTGTACAGACCTTCCTGGACCCCTTCCTGTTTTCCTTCGGACCCTGTCGAGAAACTGTGAGTGAGAGTCGACCACAGCGAGTTGTGAGCTTCGGATGAGTGAATCACTGATCGTGTGAAGAGGAGTGCTGGATGTGTTTCCCTTCGCCTGGACTTCCCTGGAGCCCCTCTAACTCTCTTCACTGTATATATGTATATATCTGACCTGGTGTCGACATGTAAATAAACTTCCCTTTCATCGTACGATTCAGTTCTGCACTTGGGTCCTGCCTGTTTGACCGTGACACTGGGACTGTTGTGGAGGGCTCAATTCACAACAACAGTCCCAGTTATTCATGTGGCTCACTGGGAAAATAAACTGTCTAACCCTGTTATAAAGTATTAACCACACAATCAACTAAAACATGCTTATTTGTGTCCTATTCAATGATATATAAGTCAGAAAATACAAAAAGACAACCACGTTGAAATGCAAAATTTTTAATAATGATGTTAACATACATTTTCTTCAGAGGTATTTTACATACATTTTTAACATTTGAAAAATAAATCTCCTTTATGTATTTACAGTAAATATTTAAAATCAAATAAAAAAACCCACATATTTAGACATTAAATGTGCACATTTACAGCAGGTTTTACCAAATTAAAAACGAATTATCAGCTTTTATTCCAAAAACAGAACGAGATCTTGCTTTGGAGCATTTTGAATCAAACAACAACGCATTGTAATAAAGGAAATCCCTTAAATATTCAGCACCGTCTCCTTTTCAGCGTAAGCTCATTGTCCATCGCACGTTGTCATGCATTCATCTGTAAATTAACCTTTGATACTCTTCTTTGTTTTGCTTTCAGAATACTTTATTGATGAGATGTAAACAGACAGTGTGACATTCCAGTGGGGATTACTAAAACCACCAAGAACATATAGCGGGATAATCCCGGTGGCCACCTGTGGTTTTCAACAGACATAAAGGTATCATCAAAAGCAGCAGCAAGAAGGTCCAGGATTCAGATGCAAAGGGTCAAATAATCCAAAGCTTCATTACTGTCTCATTGAAAACACACGGCGATGAACTAAGAACCTAAAGCTGATAGCAGATGTTAAGGACAATGTGGGCAAGTGAAGAAGCTTAAAGACAACATAACCTCATTAACCTGAAAATCAACCCTCAGGTAGTTTGGGCCACATAATATCTACACAATAAAAGGGGGAAAAAAAGATTAAGGGCCAAATTATCTTTTGCAAAATGCTAGTTTTGAAAGTTAAAATGAAAGAGACGGTTTCGAGTTTGTTTTCATAATAGAAAGAGGGAGGAAAACATCAGCAGGACATTAAGCATTAAGAAAGCAGTTATAGTTCCCTGGTTGTGACACCCTTTTTTTCTGGGTGTAGCATGTTGACCCCCTTTTTCTTCACTCTCACACTGAGCTGAGATCTGACTACAGCTGAACTCAAATTCAAGCTCAGGGAAAAGTGAGACTCTTCGTAAATTGCTTCCGTAGTCGTGCTCCAGATTCTCTACCGAGTTCTTCAGCTTATTAGCAGAAACACTTTTAGTTCCTGACATAGTCCCAGACAGTGTTAAGTGGCTGTTATCGCATGGCCACTGACACATCTGGGAAAAATCTTTACAGCAACACAGAATGGAGAGAATTTGGGAAATGATTGTATCAGTAACTGCTTTTCACCCCTTTACTGTAAAGCAACTAGTCTCTTAGGAGATGTGGTAGGTAATTGTCACAGTTAAAGCAATCCAGATGCTGTGACGTGCTCTGGCTTTCTGAATTCACTTTCACAATCTAGGAGAGACCCTTGCATCATAATCTGAAGACACTTCCAGGACACTGCTGCCCGGCTGTCGCTGTTTTGGTCGTGTGTGGCTGGAACTAGCCTGCCACATAGCAAGATAGCAAGCAGAGAAAACCTGCTCATTAAAATGTTCGTGAATAGTCCCGGGCGCCATCTATTTCTTGAAAAGGAGGCTGAGAACAAGAGATGGAGAAAAAGAAGCAAATATTGTTTGAACCAGTAAAACATGCATCACATTTATATTTTATAGCTTTCCGTGTAATATTTAGCTGTACTAGAGAAATACAGTTCGATATAGTGTGATGACGCAGAATGAAATACATTAACTTTATATTCAACCCAACAAGTGAGAGGAGGAGGAGTGAAGCATGAAGCTCAAATGCTAGCCAACACACAAATATAAGCAATTGTCAGATACTATTAATGTTTGTAGAGTTAAAGAAGTGCTGCTACAACAGAGGCATCATATATTAAATTAACTATATTTTATGATTTATAAAAACACAGAGAAGTTGATGTTATTATGACAACGCAATCCAAAACACCAACAGTAATCAGGGGACATTTTATTTCACTTATCTGCACCTCTTCTCACTGTGGACAAAGTCTGGAGAAGGTTGCTTTCTCACTGCTGTTTTACATTAGTAGCATACAGGATGTAATATAAATCTGAGCCTCTTTATAGGCAGCAGTCCAACAACCTCAGCTCTTTCTACTGCAGCGCATCAGCCAGAGAAACCACAAAAGACATGCTAGATTTCACTTTTTCAAATGTTTAGAGACAATGTTAAAAACCATTAAAAATCATTTTCCACAACTGATGAGTGCAAATAAAATGATGCCTCTTAATTAATCCTATTTATTAGGTGGAGACAGCAGCTACTCTCTAGCATGTGTGGCCCAGGGCCACTTCTAAGACCGCTGCTGTCAGTGGCTGGACTCCTTTATACCTCTGTGGATTAATATAACCAGCAATATAAGAATACATATTTCATCTAAAAAATGTTCAGGCCTCAGTAGACAGACAGTTGGATGCTGGGAATTATACATAAGTGTTTTTTGTTTTTTTTAAACAGATGATGACGACAAGACGATGATTTAATCCTCCTTAATTGGGTGAAATGGAAATAATGGGGAATAAAAAAAAATCAGTAGATCGACCCACATCTGTCACTGTAGTGGTTTTACAGAACCTACAAATGGGGGAAAAAAACTGCCGAATAAAACTTGAGGCTAAGAGGTTTCAAAGTGCCATAAAACTTTAATCCTGAAATGATTTCCATGCATCGATGTTAAACTTTGATTTGGGGTCACATGGAACAACTTATTTATTAACCGACACAGGACCGGAGACATTGTGTGTCATGTTGGCACCATCTTTACATGGACTACTTGAAAATCTGCTACATATAACTGCACATTTTCTTAAAATTTAAGATCCAAATTCTTACAATTACACTTTTTTTTTTCCTTTTACTACAACTATATGTAAAGAGCGGTTCCACACAAAATTAACTTTAAGCAACTATGATATAAAATATGCTGCTCCATTAACTGCATTATTTCTCTGACTAACCTACAATTTAAAGTTGTTCAGAAGATCGTGGGCTCGAGGTGTGAAGCAACCTACGCTTCCATTTTGGTTGCTCATCTTCATCATCATCAGTAAAAGTCCGGTCAACGGGGATCCCTTCCCAGACCAGATTACGTCCTGCAAAGAGCACAAACTGTTGATACTTCACGTACAGAGAAACATACAGGCTATTAGAGTCTAATTTCATTTCTTTTTAGAATTACATGGGTGGCTACATTACAAAAGCCTAAATTCTTCAGCTTTATGGCTTACACTCATACTCTGTCAGTGTCACTTTTGGTGCATTTTTGGCAGTTCCAGGGCAAATTACCCCAGATTACCACTGTTAACCCCAGAGGACTCCACACCTTCAGAGGTGTGATCTTTATCGGTAATTAAGATCTGGCATTCCTAACAATCTTGGTCACGCTACAATAGTTTATATACAGAAGGAAAAACACACCTGTTTGCCCTTCAACACTGCTGCTAGCCCATTCAAACGCAAAGATCGACAGATTGAGGCACCACGTAAGAACAAAGACATACTTGCGCTGAACTGATTAAGAGCTAAAACTCAGTACTGTAATGGTAATGTTACTGCAGATTCAGTATTTACAGTTACCTTAATGAAGGAGGTGTGGAGGCTGGTATTAGAGACCCATTATTCCTTTCCCTCAGAGGAGTCACATGTGTGCCCCTCAGGTGACATGCTTTTCTTTAACATCCCTTTATTCTCCCACTGTCTCTATCGCTCTTATCTTCAAGTTATCTCATTGTGAGCGATTCTTCCTATGGTGTCAGATGCTAAAACTCGAGGTCAAAGAGAGCCTCCAGCTCTGCTCAACATGGAAACACAGCCTGAGGCACAGAGGTCAACAGGGGGCAAATACGTCAAAGGGGGAATGTTTGATCTGATGCCACGTGTGTGTGGACTCACCTGGAGTAATATCAGTGAGGTGTTTCATTATGTGTATGTTTCATGTTCATGGATCGGCGTAAAGGTGTCTATGAATTAATCGGTTGTTGTGGTTACGAATCTAATGCTAGCAGAGATTGACACGAGCATACGGCTTTTTTCCACCACTGTGCTTTCGGCCAAGAGAAAAAACGCCCAAAGACTTTGGAAACACACCCATAATGTTAAAATGCTGTATTACATAAAGGCACATGTAGGTAAAAGCCTGGAGATGTCACTGACAAGCTGAAAATACAAGAAAGCATTATAAGACTCTTTTGGGCCGCAAACAACCGACTGTGTGAGCCAAGCCCCACACGGGCTAATCTACCTCCTCCATCCATCTTCACTGAAGCCAAGACGGGACACAGAGCACAGAGCAGAGGGTGCATGTGCATGTGTTTGCGATTGAGAGCACAGAAAATAAGAGCCAAGCAACACAATCTGCTGAACGACATCAATGTGTTTTTCAACTGTATTCTCTCGGGGTGGTTTGAGTTTGGCTGCAACCACAAACAAAACCATTGATACAGTGATCTAGGTTTTCTCAGTAGATTGCAGCACTACAGTACAGGGGGGTATGACTCAGATGTGACGTTACTCCAGCACTGCGAGACGCAGGAAGGTGAAGACCACCTAATGGCCAGCAGTGCTGAAGCAATCTCAACAGACTTGTGTGGGTTTATGACTCAAGTGTTTCCCAGAACCCTTCGACCAGAGGGTATGCGCTCTGCTTATGTGTGCTTTTAAGTTTATGTTCAACCCCTCACCCCCTTGCTTACGTACTCACTTACATTCAACTGTCAACTTTATTGGACAGTAAAATCGGCGAGAGGAAAGCGAAAACTCAAGGGCTTCACTTTGGTCCGCATCATTAGAAAATAAGATCGTGACCTATTACGTCAGAATACTGGGAAAGGGTGTAAATTTGCCATGTTCAATACTTGCACAACCTGCTCCAAGACATGCTGCATGTGTTTTTGAGCAGCTACTGGAACACAAGATTGTTTTGAGAAAAGCTGAAACAGCTTGTTTATACTTGTTGGAATACTGAAAAACCATTGCATTGGGCAAGATGGATTTGGGCTATGGATCATTCCCCCATGTTATTACATACCCCATTAACCTCCCTGTGAGTAGGAAAGGTTGGTGGTTGTCTGGTGACTGTATTAAATTTTTATGCATTCTGTGTCAGTAGTTGTGGCGAATAACTGGTCACTCAGAGGTTGAGCGTACAGCAGTCTCATCCTCGGGGAAACCACTTTTGATTGGGACTGTTGTTCCCTCTGACACAAGCAAACACACCCATAAACACAGACACACACACCTGTAATGAGGATAGTTGGCTCCAGAGAGGGTTGGATGCTCTGACTGGTCTCCTCTCCTCTGTCCGGACTGCCTTCACCTTGAGTTGTGAGATTGTCACTGAAAGAATTTACAGAAGACGAAGTGTTTCCTGTAACGCCCACAAACTGAATCCTGAGTCAGACAAGTGGATATGCTTTAGAAACTACAGCAGAGTATCTCATTTTACTCTGCTTTTGAGTACTCATCTTTCACTGTTAAATATTACTGACCACAAAGGACAGTGGTGCAGCCAGATATGTGAGCAGAAACTATGAGTAAAATCTTCCATGCTCTGCACCCTGTAGTGGCCTGTAATGATGAAAGCTATTTAACAAGCCTGACTAAAAACAAGTCAGCCAAAGCCAGAGGTGTGGCAAGCACACATGTGGCTCTGACAGCACTTTGTTGAGTTTCTTAGAAAACAAAACTTGCAATGTGGATGTAAAACAAAAGACAGGAACGTTTTGATTGATTCTATGTTTGGCCAAAATCTAAATACATAATTCCACGTATTTACAACACAGCGCACAGGGAGAGTACCCCTTTCAGGTGAAGGCTGCTCCACTGAAAATCAAAGGGTGAAATCATTTTAAACTGACTGAAAACTTTACTGGACATTACCAGACTAGGACCTACTTGTTACTGGTTAACGTGTAACTACAGAAATTGACTGAATGTACAAAAACCTGTCAATCAATAGAAAATTAGCATTTTGTTTTAGAATGAATGATTATTATTTTAAACAATCACCTGATGATACTGGTTTCTGAAATTTAAAAAAGGATGTCTGTTTTTGTCCATCTTAGATTAAAAGTTAAATGAACTGTGGCTTATTCAAAACCAATCGTCAAAATTCTACGAATAGCTTTTTAGTTGCCTCTATTCAAATGTGCATTTTAGGACATTAGTTGATACACAGGTAAAACCCTTCTATGGACATAACATACAACATTCAGTTGTTTCTGTCCTTAAATTGGACTTTTAAGGCAGATAACACTATAACAGCACTCGAAGCAGACCTTTGTACACCCTCCTCGTCGCTCGGATGGTCGTCCGAGTTTCGAAGCCTTTTGACAGCCTCCTGCAGACCTCTGATCTTGGCCTTCTTCTCGTTCAGCACCATGACAAAACGTGAGTACAGTTCCCTCTCTAACGCTTCCTTTTTCTGAACCTGATGTTTGAGCCTGGTGAGAAAAACACGTTCATATGACAACAATATTCTGCGTGGAGGTTTCATGCTCTTGTCGGCTATCTGATAGTAATTTGCAAAGGTGAATGACGCTAATCCCAAAAGTCCTGTGTGAACCTCATGCTGTACTCTGAAAAGAAATCAACAAGCGAATAAACAACAGCACATTTTATTTTAATTTTACATGCCAGGCATTAATAAAATTGAAGACATGTGAATCACTTGAAGTAATTTCCGAGAAATTACAAACCCAGCTCGCAATAATGGGTGGATCCCACAATATTCTCAGATGGGCGACCAGTGATGATGTCATACTGGGTGATTTTTGTGGATATAAACAAGCTGGCAACTTAAAGAGAAAAAGGAGTGTGCATGCAGACAAAGCAATCAACAATAAATACCAGCCCAGAACATCTTAAGAAAATTATGAGATTCTGTTGAATTATTTCTCTCATTATCCTTACTGTCCGAGTATTCGCTGGTGATCCTGCTTCAATTTACAGTTTTGCTCCAACAATTGTGAGTTTTCTGTCTCCAGATCTGTGCTGCGCTTTAGGGACTGTCCAATCATCTCACAGGTCAGCTCCAGAGGGTCTGGAGATGGCTGGAGCTCCACAGAGCCCAAGTGCACCTGAAACAAGGAGGAAAAGAAGCTCAGCGACAGAAAGTGAAATGAGACAGCAAGACAAAGTTTGGTTTGCAAGGCATTGGAGAAGATATACTCAGTCTTTCTTCCTCTGCACTGAGAAGTAACTTCCACTTGCCTCCCTTTGAGGGCAACCAACAAACAGGACAGGTTTACAACTACCTCTGAAGTACCTGGGGATCCTCTGCTAGAAGTTAGGAGTGACCTGAGAAAGTCGCATCTGGCATCAAAATCATGACTACGAAAATGATCCATCACTAGCTTCCAGAATCAGTTCACTGTGAAAAAGCTTCACACTTCTATCACTACAATGAGTCTACAGTACAACGTACCACAAATATTACATAAGATTTTCTCTGAAGCAGGAGAGTTTTTTTCAGATGATGAGGAGTGTCCTTCTGTCTGGGAGAAACAGAAGATGAATTCACTGGTCACCTGCAAAGTATGCGAGGGGAGAGCAAAGTTTCCTCTCTGTTGGTTTTTGTCGGTGAGTCTTTGGAATCGCAGGCAGGCTTCATATGTAATAAAACATTCCTCATTTGGATTGCATCTTGGCTCTTAGTCACAGGCCAGGGCTGAGGCAAAAAGCAGTGAGCAAAGAAATCGAGAAATTCTAACTTTTAGGTGATGTGTCGTTTTTTTTAAAGAGGAAAATGTTATCCTAATTAACAATAGAAACCATGTTTAATACGGTTCATATCATATAGCTGTATTATCTTTGCTTGTTACCTTGGAGATGTTTCCATTAACACACCTACACATAAGTACTCCTCATAAAGAACTGAAAAACCAGAAGGTAATGAGGTGTTAAATCTTCACTTAGCTACGTGAGGTCGCAGACCCACTGCAATAAAGCCACCATCTTCAAAAGCTCTCATAAAATACTTGTCATTTTTGTCCTGGGCTGATTCTGTCCTGGCAGGCCACACACCTGTTTTCTCCTTTTCTGTTGAACCTGAACATGTGTTACTGAGCAGACAGTGGCTTCATATTGCCCCCAGTTTTATATCCTAAGCACTACTGTGCCCTGGTGCCTTTCGTTCAGTTTCAAAACTTTCTGTCTTCTCTTTTCTCTTCTTCCATGGAAGTATTTCACACTCCCATCAGCACCAGCTGTACTCTGTGTTCAGTAGTGGTTGAATGTGGTCTCTTAGGGCCTTGAACACTAACTGTTAATGGCTGTTACAAAACTCTGACAATAACAAAGACATTTTATAGGAACAGGGCAAACTAGGCATGTTCTACAAAGCATGTTCGGCTAGCTTGAGAAAACCTAAGATCCCAGTCAGAAGAAAGTGCCATCAAGATGGTAGTTATCAGCTTTCTTTGCTAACCTGGAGTTTCTTTGTTAGGCTCCATGTGCACTCACATTAATTATAACGCATTGTTTGACTGAGGCTGCAAATAAGGCGAGCAACCAGGCCTAATGCGGCAGAAAAACATTCATTTATAATAATAATAATAATAAACACTTAATAGCACGCAGTGTGATCAGCTCTGACTCTGTCCCATTGTTACATGTTCCAAGAACACGTAGGAATTGCTTTAATTTGTTGCCAAACCAAAGTGAAATGAATTCTGTTGCTTGATTTAATTCTGGGTGGTAAATTGCTTACAAATGAAACTGATCAGTTTTCTGATCCGTGACCTAGTAGCTGTAATTCCAGCAGTGTAAAAAAAAAAACTGCAGCTGTTTATGACTAAACACTAAAACTCTTACATTTTCTGCTTGACCATCTGAACATGAATGCATGCAAACAAGAGTGTACTCAACTTTCCTCGCTGACCCATCTCACTTTGTAGTCAAACCCTCTGGACTACTTTTTAAAGCAGGAAGTACAACATCAAAGCAGAGGCCCTTTCATAAAATGACCAAAACACAGACGTTATACATTAAACATGACAGGAACATCAGTGAGTACACCCCAGTGAAATATCACTTAAATATAAATCGGCTCCAGCGTGTATCGCCTATCAATAACAACAGTAGAATATTTCCTTATTGAAAGACAAATAGAACATCATTTAATGTTATGCAAAATTATGCTTCATATAGTCTAACATAACACTGACATAAAATGGCCCCAAAACACTACATTTTTCTCAGTTTTGGGCCTTGGACTTGGAAGGGTGTTTGTCTCTGTACATCCATATCAAGGCTCCATCAGTGGGCAAAACTTCACAAATATGGAAAAGACTACAAGGAGATTGATGACTACCAAAAAATCCGTGGCAGCAGTAATCAAGCCATGTAAGCCAGCTGAGTGTAGGCATGGAGTTCCATTTACCCCGCCTGCGTCTTATTTGGTAATTTGTTTGGATTGTTATAAGCTTTGCCAGTTTACACTTGGCACACTGCTCTCCTCTGGTGTCTGCGTGGTCTGGTAGATGCTGATTTCCAGACTATGTTAACGCACAGCTGTTTTCTGCCTGCGATGGCCTGACGACAGTTCTCCAGGGTGGACCCTCCCTCTTGTGCTGCGATGGCTGGCATAAACTCAAGCACTGTCAAACCATCTGGTTCTGTGACTGCACTATTAAATTAAAGCATTATTAAATGATTAGATTTCAAAATCTTGTTCAACTTTACACTTGTATTCTGTATTACTGGTGACTGTCACACACAAGGAGCTCTTTCAATATCATTTGGCAATACATTTATTATACAGTGATAATTATTTAACTTGCACACGTTTTGGGAGTAAAACTGTAATGCATAAGTTCAGCTTCGTCAGCGTCCATGTCGACAGTGCTCAGGCTGATCACAACAAATGGAATCAGGACTCAGAGAAGACCACCCGGATACTATTCCCAAGAACTCATAAAAAAGTGGAGCAACACCGGTGATCCAGTGCAGCCTCTTCTAGCAGGGGGAACTTGTGTGAGCATTAGAATTTATCAACAAGTTGACATAGCTGTGATTCAGTTATTGTGCAAGTTAAAGTCCACTGTTAAGATCAAACAGTGAGATGTGTGTAGATAGAGTAAGAATGGGAATTTTTCTGCAAAATGTGAATGTTAACAGAGGGAAGTGATAAAGAGCCACTGTGACGATGTACCAACTTGTATAGTATGACAGGGTACATGCAGACGTGGTCAAAATTTTACACTAATGGGCATCATGGGCATAAATGTCATGGTAATTTGGGGCTTTTCATGATTTATTGGTTCCTTTTTCAGGGTAGAATGAATGTACAGGATACATTTTCAATGACTTCAAAAAAACAAGAATTGAGCGCACAAGCTTGAATTTATTTTGGATTTTCTCTAATCTACACAATATCCCTTAGCAAGTTGCACACAGACCAGATGCTTTTGGTAGCCATCAACAAGTTTCTGGCATAATTCTGGCTGGATGTTTGATCACTATTCTTGGCAGAATTAGTAAACTTCAGTTAAATGGGTTTGTTTCCTGGCATTGGCCCAGTCTTTAAGCCTAGTACACACATTTTCAATAAACATACAGTCGGGGCTTTGGTAGGCGATTCCAGAAGCTTACAAGAGTTGATCTTTAACAACTGCAGATTCCAAGATCATCAGTTCAAACAATTGTACGTGCATATTATTGATTGTGATGTGGAAAAAGAAGAGTTTGAAAAAATCATTCAAAGCCCAGATAACTGACAGCAAGTAAAGACAGAAGGGAAGTTTGAGAAAAGATCAAACTCCTCCTTGACTTAGACTCTAGAGGAAAGGCTCCCGCAATACATCAGCTCCATGATAACAGATAAGATAAAGGCTCTGTTGAGTAATCTAATATTTTTATGTTGTGTTATGTTATGCTGAAGAATGTTGTCCCCTAGATTTTCTCTCAATCTATAATAATGCTGAACTTCATCTTCGATGTTTTAGACACGGACTCACAAATCTTCCTAACCAACATGTCAACATTGTATTACCCTAATAAGACACTAGACAGAGACATCTAAAGTGCTGGAAGAACAACCTTTATTTACAGGATTAACTTTAGAAATGGAACTCAGCTGCTGTTTATTTATTCTCCTCCTTTTTTTAAATACCAAAGGTAGTGTTTTTTCACTGTCTTTAGTCAAAGGTTATCTGAGAAGACCCACTGCAGTAAACACATCACCAAATATTTAACATTACTCTATGGAAGTCATAAGAAGTATTGTACACTAAACAGGTATAAATATGAAAATGCAGTGAAGCAAGATACAAATATCTACATATCAGTGACAGACAGAAAGAAATATTTCTGTAAGTGATCAACGTTAAAACACAGCAATGGACAAGAAGTGCTTTTTTTTCTTATTTTCTTGAGCTTGGGCTCCTCTCCTGGGAAACAGAGATAAAGTTAAAGGTCAGTCTGCACACTGCTGCCAGCCACTGCAAAGATGTGGGAGGTCAGACTGTTTGTCTGTGATGCACAACCCACTACCACATTTTTGTTGCTGAACTGAAACAACACTAAAATAAGCAAACTGCTCACAGCAGTAGTTTCAGCCTCTAACAATATTCAATATATGTCTTATAACACTTAACTTTCTGGACAGAGAGACACGGATAAATTCACTCAAATTAAATGAGATGCTTCATACAGCTAGTTTCTTCTGACATTGCAAGCGATGAATAATCTATATACTGTGGATGTACAATCTTCTTCTATGTATGCAAATTTGTCCAACATTTCAATGTGGTCCAGTGTGTGTGGTCTACGTGTTTGTTTATGTTAGTCTGTGTGAGTGTGTGTATGTCTCCAGCTTGCAAACCGGACCATAAGGTCAAATGTTGACATAGGTGTGGAGGACAAAGCCAGAAGAACACAGTCCCACTGGAAATGATACCATAACACACTGTGGCCACAGAGGACTGAAAGCTTTCCATGTCACTCCATCTGGCACACCGCTGGAGATCTAAAAGGTAACAACTGGTGACCAATGATACGAAGAAATGCAATGCAAGGCAAATGCGCTCATGTTTATCTAAATCCTAATAAAAACACAGTGAACATGTCCCTGATAAAA